GCCATCCATGCGAGTTAACATGTCGCGAATGGAATTGACATGATGTTTTCCACGGAGTGTCCTTGAGCCTTGAGTTATCACGTCCTCGACTCAATGACCTGAGCTCTTTAAAGCGTAAAGCGTCGAGCATCCGTGACTTATATTATAACGCCCTGCATAGCCGTAGCTGTTTCGATGGTCTCACACCGCTAAGAGATTAAACCCTCAACCATCGACATCCAAGCGTCTCACGTCCCAGAGACACTCCTCACTGCAGAGGCGCTCTACAGCTCATCACACAAGTATCCCACGAGCACAACAGCCTGCTGCGTTTCAGTCTCTGATTTCGTCCCTCTCTTATGTCGTAGAACGCCTGGTCCAGTCACCCAGAACTGCTCCCACTTGTCGTGGTGTCGATGTCGGCATCGGCGTAGGAGGTAGGCGATCAGCTGTAGGGTATCAACATGGCGGGAACTTGGCGCGAGATGGAATATGCGCGGTTCGTGGTCATGAACTATAGAATGTGCGTTTCCGGAGCTCAAAAGGCATACTTCACAAGTAAAGTCAAGTTCAGCGTTTCTTTTTCTGGAAGATAACGAGGTGCTTTGGGTTCATCTTATCTAACGCGTCTCAGTTCCATTACTACTACTACAGAACAAGCAACACACTCTCGGAGCGGACGGTTCTCGTATACTTTGTCATTGTGTATGAGTCTAGCGTTCTGCGCCCGTGTAGAACTTGCTCAGACATGCCTTTTCATCACCCGGTGCATTTGCATCCCATATGTATTCGACATGACTCTGGTCATTGTACCATGTGAACAGCTACGGCGATAACCATTCCGGAATCACAGCATGGTACATAGAGGCCGAAATGAATGAGATCCATGGAAAATTCGTAGTCAGGCCATGAGAAGTCGGTGATGCGATGGAGCTGCTAGACAAGATCTGTCACAAATAATCCGAGATTGTGTGTTGAGAGATAACAGGTGTACTACATGTTAGACAGGTTCAGGGACCAGATCTCGTCTCAAGTCCCCGGGGAAGGCAGGGGAAGAGGTAAAATGCTGGAAGATATCAATGATAGAGTGGTGGATGTTCAGATCTAGTTGCGTATGAGATGATATCGTAGTACATGCGATAACTTGGTGATGGCTTCTTACTATCGGCTACGGAGTGGTTGACATACTGAAAGATTCCACAAGGTCGGTATTAATGCTTCATACAAACAAAGCACCGCAGGGACATGCTTCATGAAAAGGTGACTAATGAAGGCTCAACGACAATATATTATGGTATGTCAAGCCTAGCTAAACTAACTCCAAACACAGAATAATCGGGTATGCGCTGCGTGAATCTATTAATTAGGTATGGGTTATTAACCGTAATCATCATATCCACGTGTATCCTCATAGCTTCCTCCGTGTTTATGGATGTATCCCTCAAGTAGGCGACTTGATCAACCTTCTAATCTCCTTGGAGGTACGACTACTCGACCCATCTCCATCCCTGTCCGACGACTCCCTCTCTCGTTCTTCCCTTTCTCGCTCAGCCTTTTCCTCCTTCTTTTCTTCTTCCTTCTTCTTCTTCTCCATGAGCTTCATGGCGTCCTGGGTAATCTCCTGTCTGTCGAGCAGTTCCCAGACGTCCTTCTTTCGCGTCTTGCGGTCGCCTCGGCTGATGACGATACCAGCAGTGATGTTGCAAGTGATACTGACGCACAGGATGACGGTGGTCAGTGCGAATGGGCGGGTATGGTAGTCGATGCCCCAGGTGCAGGCACCCAGGGAGATCTGGAGACATGAGTGGCAGTCGAGGAGAATAACGATGGCGATGAGGTATTTGAGGGGAAAGGCGAAGTGTGTGAATGTTTCTTGGGGTTTGTAGAAAGAGTGTGATTTGGCCATCTTCTTCTGGTGGTGCTGCAGACTCTTGAACTGAGCAAAGGTCAGAGCTGGCTGGTCGGACTCGGGACCGTTGGACTTTGCGGCCTCTAGATCGACTGTCTCGGGGCTTTCTGGGTGAGGTTCCGGATTGCCTTCCGCAGTAGGCTCGGTTCCGTCTCTCTCTGGCTGATATCCCTGAGATTCGAGCAAGACACGAGCTTGGTGGCCCGTAAGATGCGAATCTTCAGGGTTGGTAACTACACCTGGTGGAACTTTCTTCTTCTGCAGCTTATTTCTGGGTTTCTTGCCCTGCTCTGCTCTCTTGATTAATCGCGAATATCGCCAGATGAAAAACATGTGATAGGTATCGACAGCACGGAACGGGGCAAGACCATCACCCATGATGGCAAAGAGCGCAACAAGGACACTGTCAATAATGTGGATGGCATAGACTTGCTCCTCGCCGACGTAGATCCAGCCGATAAGGAAGAGAACCCAGGCCAGACCGAAGAGGGTGATGAGGGTGGCGTAGAGAGTGACGAAGAAGCCCAGAGGTCTTCTGACGTACTGGCCGAAACCCTTCATGCGACGCTTGAATCTAGCACGCCGGGAGTGTAGCATGTGTCGAACGTGATCGTCCAACTCGGCCTTTTCCTCTGGAGTCCAGCCCTCGAGGGTAGTTCCATGAGGAAGGGCAGCATAGTGCGACTCAGTAAGACGCGACGTGATGGTGCTGCTTCGCTGGGGGCGAGGAGGTTCTTCATCGATCGTCTCGGGAATAGTGGCGGTCTCTTGGGCCTCTTGGGCTGCTGCTTCGCGGCGTCGTTCTTCGGCAACGGCGCCTCTGGCCCAGTCGGCTTGGGGATCGTGTCGGGATAATGTGTATGTAGGTCGGCGGTTAAGCCAGTTGCCGAGATCGGGGACAAAAAGGGAGTTTTGGACGTTGGTGAGAGTAGAAAGGGTTTGGACTTCGGGGTCTGGGATATGTTAGCAAGTATTCAAGGCGTAGATGGGTAAATTGACTTACCAATGACATCCAGCCAATCCACCAGCGACTCATCATATTCATCATCGCGGTTGCCATCTCGATGACCCATGGGCAACGCGGTTTGGTCTTCATCGGGTTGCCGTCGATTTCCTCCTGGCCAGAAAAAGCGGCTAGCTCGTCTGGCCCGTTGCATCCGAGTCATTCCGCGTCCATTTTGCGGACGATTCAACTGCTCATCAGGAAGAGATCCGGTCGGAGACATGGGACTCGTCGGGCCATCGTTGATACCGAGTTCTGCTAGACTAGGTCGACCTCCTTCTTCTGTGAGTCGCGGCATAGCGGCCTGCGGTACTCGTCGCGAGTGTCGGGCAAGGGCGGAATTTCCATCGGAAACGCGAGCACGCTCCGGCTGGGAAATGCTGCGAGGACGGCCGCCATCATCGCTGAATCCATCTGATTGTGGTATACTATGATTAGAGTAGACAGATCCGTTTGAGCTGCGACGGATGCGAATGCTGGGTTGACGCGCTTGATCGACGGGCGGGCGTCTCCGCTGTGGCGGTTGCTGTTGTTGTTGATAAGGGGCGGAGTCTTGGTACGAGGGAAACGCGGAAAGGGATGTTTGTGATGGAAATCGAGGAAAAGATGATAGCGAAGTTTGTGATTGTGCCGAGGGCGCCTGGCTCAGCGGATTGAAGTAATCGGAGGCTGTTTCTTCGACAGGCCCAGGGCTCGCAGGATCGTGCGGTATCGGGTTCGGGTTAATGACGGCGCGGGAGGATGATGGACTCGGAGAGCGACGGGCGTAGTTCTGGCCCGTTACCTGGAGATGGCCCGAAGGCTGGTGTCGATTGTTGTAAGCCATGCCCGACGATGATGCATGGCAGAGGGAGAAAAAATAAAGGTGAGAGTAAAATGAGGTGAGGTGGTAGTACAGTATATCGCAATCCCAAACCCAGAGCCAAAGCCATAGTCAAACCTAGTCAGCCAAACCTGATGGCCACCCTCTAAAAGAGACAGGCCCAGGCCTGGAATTAGTCAGTCGTCACAACAGAGACTCTTTAGACTATTACGGCCTAGTCCCAGGTCCGATCAGCCGCTTGTCAATGATGATCAGCCATTTTTTGAGGCCTTGTCCAAGATTATTATTACCTCCCTGGGCCTCCTACGTAGTGAGCACTGAGGAACGATCCGGTCCAAGGCTGAGTGGATCCGCATACGTCACACCAAGTGCCCGCGACGGGTTTTTTATGGCCAACGCAATCTCCAGACCCCATCAAAACATTTTGGCGCCCAGCAAAAAGGTAAATATTAGTGCCGGAACATCCGCCATCCATCCATTTTATTTTGGACAGTCAAGAGACGGCACAGAGATTTTCTTGTTACGACGTTGTAGTTCCGCGGCAATAGCAGGAAATTGGTCATCATGACTATTGATTTCCCTTGCTTGATCACCGCTTATCCACTGTAAACCCACGGGTTCATGGATGTCCGCTGTTGCCGACGCAACATTGAATGAATATGAATTGTGATAATAGCACGGACTTACGGGATCTGGCGCGACAATCTCAGTCCGTCAGTCTCCAATCATTTCCACGGACACCGGACCACTCCCTCATCCCGAGACTCTATTCACTAGCCAACCCCCAGACCTTTAGGTTAGAGGCTGCAGGAATTACATCACCCTCAAACAACTGCCATCCCAAATTCTCCAACCGTTTCACCTGCTCCCATTCTTGGCCGTTCAGACCACTGCTTGGCGTCTTGCTCTTACACAATGGCTTCTTGGCTTTTGAACCCCTATTTCTAAATCAAGATTTTTCTAAATCTAAGCTTAACGTCGCTGTGCATTGCATGGTGATGTCTCACCCTATACCTGGAAACTCTCAACCGCGATCTTACCGCCACTCAGTGATGGAGTTTCGCTTCGTGTTTAAACTTTGCACTCTTTGTGACGTGAGAAACACGCACACTTCTTTTAATAGCTGTGAGCTCTAAAAATTAACAAAAGTAATGTAGTTCAATAGTGTAAGCCGTTGTTCATTCCACATCGCGACTCATGACCATGTCACGTCGAGGGCGGGTGAAACAAGACGGCGAACCAACAAACAACACAACGTCGGTCACATCAGCAAAAAGATGATTTCGTGGACTCACGGGGATTTGAACCCCGGACCTTTCACAGTCGCTATCTGAGGATATCAGATCAGTGCGAAGCGAAAATCATACCCCTAGACCATAAGCCCGAGTTTTTTTCTTGGATAGTTAAAATTGTTTGACCGAGGACTATGTTTCTGTTGAGCCTGAGAGACTCTAGATACTGGGTAGTATGAGTTTAATATGCGCCCTCAGCTATACAAGAAGTAACAGCAATGTCTCGGTAGCCATAATGTCTCATAGTCAGATAATCTAAAAGAATTGCGCAAGGAGGTCCAGGGGAACAAAAAACACGGGATTAAGCACGGCTTTTCAGCCTCGGGTCTGGCGGGAGTTAATGCCTCCAGGAGAACTCTCGGGAAGATCAACCGGCAGAGGCAAAATCATCATCGGAGGCAAAAAGCTTGGACTCACGGGGATTTGAACCCCGGACCTTTCACAGTCGCTTGTCTGACTGAACAGAACAAAGATGCGAAGCGAAAATCATACCCCTAGACCATAAGCCCGAGTTTTTATTGGCTGATAGCAAGCACAATTTGCGCTCGGTCTATGTAGCTGTGACCAACCATATTCCTGTCAAAAAGACGAGATATCTCTATCACAATCAGCAAAAGTTGTGGACTCACGGGGATTTGAACCCCGGTCCTTTCACAAGCGCTTTTGCTCTGTACGACAGCTTTTACACTGTTAGAGAGATGGTGCGAAGCGAAAATCATACCCCTAGACCATAAGCCCGAATATTGATTATGTAAGCTGGGTTACTGTATCTTCCCATATTCGCCAGCTGTGAACACCCGCTCTTGGTGTTGTGGGACTGCGTCGCCGTTTCAAGTCTCATACCGCATATTCGCCACTGGGAAAAGAACTTGGTTTCTCTATGAAGCCCATTGAATTGTTTACTTTGCTACAACAAAACTCCTTTGTGTTCATATCAATCCCGTAGCATGACAGTCTGTCCTCAAATAGAGGGATCAAACCTTGCAGCGACATCATCATACGCTTGCTTCAGCAACTTAATCAGCGTATCCATCTCATCCTCCGTAATTGTCAATGGAGGCGATATGATGATATGATCTCCCGTCCAACCATCAGCCGTTCCAGTCCCAGGATAAACCGCCAATCCCAGCTGAAAAGCCCGTTCCTGAACCTTGACTCCAAAGCGGATCTTGCTGTCGAATGTTGCCTTGGTTTTCTTGTCCTTGACAAACTCGATACCCCAGAATAGACCACGGCCTCGAATATTTCCCACAAACTCGAGGTCTTGAAAAACTCGTACTAGACATTCGTGTAGTCGGGTCCCAAGTCTGGCACATCTGGAGACTAAGTCATCTCTCTTGATAATCTTCTGAATCGCCAGTCCTGCGGCACAGCTTATAGGATGAGCTTGATAAGTGTGTCCGTGGTTGAAACTCGCGGTGCCCTTCTTCAACGTGTCGATGACATGCTTGTTGACGAGAGTTGCAGCGATTGGCATGTATCCTCCTCCAAGACCTTTGCCTATCGTGACCATATCAGGACGCACATCACCATCCTGCTCAAAAGCAAAGAATGTTCCACATCGTCCAGTTCCGCACATGATTTCGTCGAGGATTAAGAGAATTCCATACTTTCGACAGACCTTTCCCACACCTTCGAGGTACGCGGCTGGAGGGGTGATACATCCAGCTGTTGCTCCTCCAACTGTTTCTGCTATGAAGGCGATAATCTTATCCGGACCGACTGCTTGAAATTCTGCTTCCAGTTCGTCGACTAATCTCTTGGCGTACTCTTCCTCTGTCTCGTCGTCCTTTTTCACACGGTATTCATACGCGGGACTGACGTAGCTCACGTTGTCGAGGAGGAGTGCATTTTCATATGGTGCTCTCCTGGCCAAGTTGCTACTAACAGTCATAGCACCGATAGTGTTGCCGTGATAAGCCTGTCTCCTCGAGACGAAGCGTGTTCGCTGCGGTTGTCCGTTTTCAACATGGTATTGACGAGCGAGCTTCATCGCCGAGTCCATAGCCTCGCTTCCTGAGTTTATAAAATATGCTCTTGTCAAGCCAAACGGCTCTCCTTCCAAGAGGTAATTGGCGAGGTCCTCTGCACTGTCGGTTGTGTAGGTCATGGTATGAACGTACGAAACCTTTGATGCCTGCTCGACCATAGCGTCACGGACTTCAGTGTTTCCATGTCCGATAACGGCGACTGCAGCGCCGGCGCAACCATCGAGGATCTTGCGACCGGAGGCGAGTGTGAGGTAGACACCTGATGCGGAGACGACTGACTCTGGAGGATGGAGAAGGGAGCGGTGCATGAGATGGGGCTCTGAGGCCGAGGAGAATTGAAGGTCGCCCATTGCTGTATGATTGTTGAGGCTGAAGATGATGAACGATAGAAGTTGGGAACTGTGATGTTTATATCAAAGCAAGAGGTGGAGTAAGTTGGCGTTGATAAGTGAAAAGCCACTCGGGTTAGCATGGCATGCGGTTCGGGTTTGGTATCATTTTCGGGTTACCAATATAGCATCGGGTTAATCACGACTTGTACATTGCTTAATTAAGTTTAGTACCCAAGGTTATAATATTGTAAGATACAATAAGCTAACCCGAGCCTGCATCTCCCACATTATCAATACTCGTCGAAAGAAGATGCGGATCATCACAAAAGGACAAAAGCCTCCACCAATCCTCACCCACATCCTCATTGCCACCCGTCAACTCATCTTGAAAGGTAAATCTCTCCGGTACATCTACACCATCCTCTACATCACCCGCTATCAATTGATGTAGTTTCGAGGCGTCGTCACCTGTAGGCCTGACCGGGTTTGAGCTTGGATCAAATGTCTGGCGAGGCATCCCTTGCAATGGAGCTAGATGTATAGAATCTTCCAATTCTGGATAATCGTATCGCGAGCCCTTGACACGTCGTTCTCCGCTGACACGAGTCATGATGCTCTTTGCAGTGTTGAGAACGTCAATCCACTCTTCGGCAAGTCTCCAAACCTGCCTGATTCTAACAAGATAAGACATTGTTCTTTGTGCTTGAGCGTCCGCTTCTGCAGTTTGTGCTTCCGTGAATCCCATGAAATTCGGGAATGCTGCGCCATAAATACTCCAGAGTGTTGAGGAGAAGGCGCATAGGCCGGAGAAGGGTGTGCGAAGAGGACAGCCTACGTGTTCTAGGTCGCCTAGCAATGCTGATATCTGGGTAGCAGCGTCGTAAAGTTCCAAGATGTTTTGGGACCAGAAAGAATCGGGACCCCTGGCTTTTAGGAGGGGTGGTTCTATGGGACCTCGGGGCTTTATTTCGTCGACTGGGCTGAAAGGGATAAACTCACGGCAGAGGAAGAGTAGACTGACAGTAGCTTGTTAAGTAATTGTTGAAACCAAGATGTGTGTGTACGCACCTAACGTAATAGACCAGGTTGATGTACCCAAATCTCTCAGCTTGTCCACGTTGAGCGTGTACTGACACTTTTGTACCGGGGTATTTCATTAGAGCATCTTGAGAATCTCGCCACTTGAACAAGTCTTGCTTCATTCTGTGCCAGTATGAAGTTTCGTTGAAGGGGCATTGTTCGGGTTCGGTCATGCCGGGCTGCCTTCTGCCACCTTCTGCTATCCAGGTGTGGATTCTCGACCAGATACGTAGGCCCTGGATGAGAAGAACGAGATGATCGTCTGGGCCATAGCTGCGCAGGTTGTCGTCTATTGTAGATGGTTGGATGCTTTGCCCAAAGAGGAACTGAGCGTCGTTGATGGGTAGAGAGAAGTGCATCTCCTCATCGGGGAACATGGCCTGTCGTCTTTTCCCGCAGCTCAACAACCTATCCATCTTGAAGCACGTCCATAGTGTTCGTTTCTCGAGCTCTGATAGTGTTTCTTTCTTACCGCAACTAGCGAATCCAGTGCTCAACAGACCTTGAGCCATTCTTGTGGCCATGCCACAGTGCATCCATGCGTTGAAGCCATCTCCGTCACCCCAGTTGCAAAGTGACAAGACGAGGAACGTCTGGATAAGGGCAAGGTTGGGACCACTAGTGACTCTCTTTTGTGCCTCACTAGCTATGAATTGAATGTTTTGACTGCTGTTCTCTGCTGTATAGGTTTCTGTATATCGATGCGATACAGCGACGATGGCGAGGAGTCGAAGCTTTTGCACGGTACCAAGTTCGTCTTCGCGATACTCGAGGTCATCGGGATGTAGAAAACCGAACTCGGGAAATTGAGCCCGAAACAATGTGATAGCACTTATAAACTGAGCGCGAGGAATGGTGTTAAAAACTCGATTGACATCTTGCCAAACATTATCCGAGATATTTTCAATGCTTTGTGACTGATGTGTATTCAATCGTTGTCTCTTGGTTGGGCGCGGTTTGGAGTTCAACGAGCTCTGCCCCAGTACAGGACCACTCAATGCACAGGTCCGAGTATAGCCACTCTTCGTACAGCCTACGCACGGAGGCTGGCCATTGTGCCTACACTTGACCTTTGATTTTCTGTTCAAGGGTGGTCAGACTCGATAACCCTTGCAAGTTAGACCAGTCAGCGCTTTACCTGCACCTACACGACTGAATGTTAGAACACTATGCACTATAACTCAAGGAATAAATTGGGGAGCTTACCGTTCACAAGCTATAGTCGTTCTCATCGTTTCCGATTCGCGTTTCAAGATGAGATGATTCTCGAGATGTTCTACAGGCGGGGCCTCGGGTATGAATCCTTGAGACGAGATGATTTTCGGGTTCAAAGCCGATTCGGGTTTGGTCCAACATTAGTTTCGGGTCTAACGTCACGTGTCGCTTCATGGTCTTGTTGCTTTTTCATCAGCAATACGGATTTAAACTGATCGTGATGACCTTTTGCTCCATGAAAACACTCGACTTTTTCTCTTAGCGGGTGGAAGAATTCACGAATTTGGTCTGGACCCGGCGCATCTCGCTCCGCTTGGATTGATCCATGTCTATATCGTATCGGTGGCTTCCAGGCCCAAGTTGTAACCCTGTCTGCCAAGCCTGTCTCAGGTTGAACGTGCCTAAGAAAATTAGCAATTAAGGACTGTTTCAAGGAGGAGAATCTTACCCAAACATGCGCTCAATGACACCACGAGTACCACCCAAATCAAGGCTTTAGCCTATCGGTAAATTCTTGGAAGGTTTCATGATCTGAGCATGGTTTTAGACTTAAGGTAAGCTTGAACAGGGCATCGTCTGTCAAAGGCCTTGAAAGGGGCCTGGGTTTTGCCTGACAGCGCTAAGTGAGCTGTGAATAGTTGGATCTATTTCTCAAAAGAGCTTAGTAGATGGATAAACTATTGCTAGGTGATACTATCTTGTTTCCCTTCTAATCCCGCCAATAAGAGCCCTGTTAACATCCCAAAACAGAACAACGTCCGTTTCCATGACCCCTTCCTCGGCATCCGGAGCCATGTTATATATCCTCAGCTATTCGCCTTGTTTTGTTTTCGAGTCGTGACAGGTTTCTCTGGTAGACATTCTTTTTTCCATTGCTCTCGTTTTTGTTTCAAAGCTGTAACACTCGTTCAAACTATACACTCACCTTCTTTAATTCCGTTCTTTAAAACATCATCATCATGCGTTTCACCTCTGCTGCTACCATTGCGGCCCTCGCTACGTCGACCGTAGCTCAGTCCTTCGACTCTTCCAAGTCTGACCTTGACGGCTCCGTGTGGCAGGCCCTGACGCCCGTCAAGGCTCGATCATGGGATAACATGCCCCGCAACCGCCCCGTCAA